TATTGCTCGTTTTAATTTATAATCAAAATCACAATGTTTATAACATGAATATTATAAAATTTAACTATAAATCTTTATTAAATTTCTATGTTATTGTTACAAATTTTGTGTTACAAAGTGATTTAAACAAAACCTATTAATATCAAAATTTGTTTGTGTTTCTCTACTACCTAACTTATTTATCTTATAATGAAACCTTTTATTTCCCTGCCAAAAGACTCTAGGAACAGCACAGGGGACAAAGTGAAAAGTTAAATGATCCTACTCAAACTAACAAAAACACACTATATCATTCTTATTATTACTAGGGAAACAACATGTTCTTCGTAAATCAAGTGAAACTGTGGGAATGGGGAAAAACAAAGAAATCTGTAACTCATTATGGTCAAATAGTTGTAAACACCACTGCACTCAGACCCACCGTCTCCCTAGGAGATGTGGATTTATAAAAATTTAACACAATAACTTCATTCCACATGCACAAGAGCATGATCACAACTATAGAGCTAGTTATTCTAAAATTATGGGTCAATGCACACAACACTAACAGGAAAGATCAACAACAAAATTAAATCAAGCCAACCCATACTGGGAACATGCATCAAAAACACCTTTAGTACTGACAATGCCCTTTAAATAAACCTATTAATTTTGATGTATTATTAACATGTTCTTTGAGAAACCCCAGGGCCCTCAGAATTTCCCAAAGCCATACCAAGCCAAAAGGTTAGGCCTTCTAATTCTGGGAAGCCTTGTCAAGTAACCAAAGGTGAACAAACAGGAAATTCCATGGAGCTGTGCCACACACAGGGGACCCCCTTGCAGCCTACTGAACAAGGGGTATCGCTCCTCAGGCTCCCATGCTACTCCCTATAGCAGGATGGCTCACAGCAGGCTCCCACAGGCTGCCTGTTATTTTGAGCATGTACCTCATCTGCCTGTCGGGCCACTATCCAGACCTGTTCCCTGTACATGGATTCAGACAATTCCCTCTGTCCCAGCCACTTCACAGAGGGGGATATAAAGGAGCCAGAGCTGAGGCAGGGTTGTTACCTGATGAAGGGGAAGAAAGAAAGGAGTTGGGTGGTTGAGGACAAGCATCTTGAGACCAGGTGTGGGGAAGAGAGGGAAAAGGTGGAGGGGCTGGTGAAGGATCTGGAGCATAAAGAGGTAATCAAGGTGGCCCATACAGGGAGCAGAGTAGTCTGACAGATCAAAAGATTGATCCGTGTTCAGAAAGGGGAGGTCAAGCATGAGCTAGGAGAATTTGAGACATAGGACAGTTTTGACAAAGAGAGAAGGACATGATCAAAAACAGAGGAAAAGGCTTGAACTTAAAGAATCTCTCCGGCTTGCCCTTTCAATGACAAAAGTTGTCTAGAAGAGTACCTAAATTGAGAGTGCCGTCTTGTGGCCACTGGGATCCATTGTAACAAGGCGTTCGAGTTTTAATGTCTCCCTGGAGACTGAGAAATTGGCCAGGAGATGGCCCAGAGGCATATAGCATGGAGTACAGTAGAAAACAAGACATTCAGGTTTGGATTGTGAGGATCCCATTTAGAGGGTGAGAAAGGAAATGGGCAGTCCTCCTAGAAGAATGGTGCCAACAAACAGCGTCCTCTTTGCTGTCCACCTTCTTTTTGAGCGAGAAAAGCCATGACCCGCTAATGAAGGGTCCTTCAATAGCTGGGGGACACAAGAAAGTTTCCCTCAGCCAGGCGCCTGGGCTTCGAGAACGAGAGAGAGCACGAGTTGGGGTCCAAGACGAGAGAGGATTGACCCACTGACTCACCCTGAATTGAGGCTGATGTTGGATGCATTGGTCTGAAATAGCAAAAGGAGAGAGTCCCGAGCGTACCCGGTTTGGCAGATCTGGAAGGGCAGCCGAGGGCCAACCAACATAAGAGAGAGGGGATTGTCCAACAACAGTAGCCAAAACCCTTCCCAGGTTTTGGCAACATAATGAAAGAAAATGAGCCGAGACACTGGATACTGATCAAGCTTTATTAAAGGAAAAGAATCTGCTGTGCTGTGCCCAAAGTGGGGGGCAGTCCAGGGCTGCCTTCAAAATGGAGGACAGGGGCCGGCCCGTGGCTCACTTGGGAGAGTGCGGTGCTGATAACACCAAGGCTGCGGGTATGGATCCCATATAGAGATGGCCGGTTGGCTCACTGGGTGAGCGTGGTGCTGACAACACCAAGTCAAGGGTTAAGATCCCCTTACCGGTCATCTTTTAAAAAAAATAATAATAATTTTAAAAAATAATTTTAAAAAATTAAAAAAATAAAAAATGGAGGACAGCACCAGACATGAGGGTGAGAGAGCTTATATAGGGCACCAGGGGCTGGCTGATACCATCAAGGAAGGGTGGTATGCTAATGCAGAAACTATGCAACCAGGGTGGAGAACTGTGCCCTTGTGGAAGCAAAAGGGCTTCCGTTTAAGTCACAAGGCTTCTCATAAAGGGAAGCGGGGAGAGGTTTGGTGCTGGAGTGGAAGACAAGGCCAGTGGCTATTTTGTGCTTATCGTGTGCACAATGGTGCTGATCACGTCCAAAATCCAACAGAAAACACTGTCCTTCCCCCCATTGAATCGTCTTGGCACCCTTGTCAAAAATCATTTGACCATATATGCCATGGCTTATTTCATATCTTTGGAATAAAGTTACACTTTATTTTTTAATCCTTTAGATCAGTAGTGCCCATAAAACAGACATTATGTGAAAATCTTTTTATATCAACAGTAATTTTGCTGAAATGAAGGCAAGAAACTTAATTTTAGGGAACAAACACATCATCATTAATTGTATACATGTCTTCAATTTGTTAGCCAAACATGGGTGCCACACGACAAAACCCAGAAATGTGCAACATGAGGTACTTCAAAATATTCATGGAAAAATGAAATTGAAAGATAATAGGTGTTAAAGAACAACAAATTTAGTTAAAAATTTCAATTGGCTTTATCACAATTCTAGAATTGGGCAACACCTTATTTCATAAACTAGAATAAGTGTTCCAATGAGCCAAGCAGAGGAGGCTGGTTTTATAGACAGAAAAAGGCTAAAGAAAGCAGAAACAAGGACAAAAAGTAGATTGGTCATTTCAAAGTTACTATCCTTGTAAGGAGGGGACAGGAAGACAGAACAGTAGAAAAATAACATCCGGTTACTTCAGGCTATCTCTTTTGTGTAAGGATTAAAGCAAAGAGAACTTCATTAACACACGCATTGAAGATTTAAATTAGCCTGTTCAGGAAATTGGCTTTCTCCTGACAGAAGGTCAGATCACAGCCTAAATGACATGGAACTTAGCAGGAGTGACTCCATTTTGATTTCTAGTGTGGGGTTTCGGGACCTAGTACAGGAACTTAGTCCAAAACAGTGGCCCCCTATAATTGTGTTTAACATAGGAAACTTTCCATGAACTTCTTGAAAACCGTCTGGTAATAATTCAGTAGACTGATATTTTGCTGACTTGCATTAAAAACCATTGCTAAAACAGATTAAGAAAGAAAAATCACAGCTTTACATATCTGTGCATGTGTGATTTTTTTTTTTTTTTTTTTTTTTTTTTTTTTTTTTTTGGTGTTTTTTCTTTGAAAAATTAAGGCCCCGGGGAAATTTAAAAATATAATTTTTTTTTTTTTTTGGTGTTTTTTCTTTGAAAAATTAAGGCCCCGGGGAAATTTAAAAATATAATTTTTTTTTTTTTTTGGTGTTTTTTCTTTGAAAAATTAAGGCCCCGGGGAAATTTAAAAATATAATTTTTTTTTTTTTTTGGTGTTTTTTCTTTGAAAAATTAAGGCCCCGGGGAAATTTAAAAATATAATTTTTTTTTTTTTTTGGTGTTTTTTCTTTGAAAAATTAAGGCCCCGGGGAAATTTAAAAATATAATTTTTTTTTTTTTTTGGCATTTGGCCAGTACAAATGAGTGTATAATGTATTTGCCAAGCCCTGGTCTTTACACCCACCTTACCATTTATATCAAATAATCCAGCACAGTGTGATTATGCTTATTAAACTGTCGGAATGTTTAAAAAAAAAAAAAAACAACTATATACTTTAAATTAGCCTGAGTCCTTAATTTTCTAAGAGCAAGCAACCAAAAAAACAAAAAAGAACCATACCAAACACACACACGCGCGCGCATGGGACATACCTAGAGTTCTAGAAAAGACAATCCCCAAAACAGTTATCAGTATTCTAGAAGTTTTGACAGGTGAAGGCTAGTATAACGCTTTTTGGAAATCATAATCGTGGCATATCCACTGTGGTATCACAATGTTGCTAAGCAATTCTTTTATTCTTGCAACTATTATTGTCTTAAATTGACCCTGTCAACAGTATTCGTTTTGATAGTTTTGCACATCTGCCACAAGACGCTCAGCAGCAGCCTGCGACCGATCGCGCTCCGTGGTCCTCCGCAGTGGCTCTCGCACCCAGCAGCTTTAAGGCCGAAGCCGTCCGCAGAAGCGAGGGACAGACCCCAGCGGGTCCATCAGGGAAGAGCAGGGCCGCCTCACCTCAGCCTTCCCGCCTCTGCGTCCCCAACAGAAGGCGCCTGCGTCCCCCGGCCCGCCCCCTCCACGTCGCGCCGCGGCTCATGCGCAGGCGCAGG